GTAGGAGTTCAGATATTCCTAGCTAATCAGGGGAACAGGCTAGTCTGGAGACCAGAAGCATGTGCTTTTTCTTTTCTTATTTCTTTCTTTCTTCGTTTCTTTCTTTCTTTCTTTCTCTCTTTTTTTTTCAAGACAGGGTTTCTCTGTGTAGATTTGGAGCCTATCCTGGCACTCGCTCTGGAGACCAGGCTGGCCTCGAACTCACAGAGATCTGCCTGCCTCTGCCTCCCAAGTGCTGGGATTAAAGGCGTGCACCACCAACGGCGGGCCCAGAAACATGTGCTTTAAGATAGCTGTAGTTTTCATGCTGAGAGCCTCGCACATGCTGAAAATATAGTAGAGCAGCTATTCAGAGGTCACTGAAAAAATGTCTGGGAGGAATGACACAAAGCAAAATTCTCTTAAATGTTCCTTTTTAAAAGGTTTAAAGGTTAGAGGACAAATTGCAGGAGCCAGTTCTCTTCTCCTCACTAGGTCTAGGGGATTGAACTCAGGTACAGACTGAGAGTGAGTGCTTTATCATGGGAGCCATCTGTGAAGCCTCCTAAAAACCTATCCCTCATTTCATTTTTTAGCTTCTGCAATAACTTTATAAGAACTAATATGTGCAAACTGAGGTTATTTTTGCAACTAAGCGAGTCCTTTAAGCTCCTGACCTTGGAGACTCCTCTACATGGTTCTTATCTTCTACTTATTTGTTTCCTTAACTTATTTACTTATTGTTTAAGAAAGGGTGTCATGTAGTCCTTCCTGGTTTTGGACTCCTGATTCTCCTGCCTCTACCTCCCAAGTTCTGGGATTACAGTATCTGCCACCACCACACTTGGCTATTCCATATTGTTTCCACAGTTATAATACACAAACAACATTAATAGTGAAACTTGCACATTTTCTCCAGGAAACAATGCCAATCTAGGATAATATAAGAAAGTCGTTGTGTAGTCTTCTAACCAAACCACTATGGACCACAAACCCCAACCAGCTTTGGAAATTTTGTGTCAACTAGTTTTGGGTGTGATTTCTGAGCCAATTAAATCCAAGCTACAAATAACTGATAATTAACTTCAGTCAAGGGCCTATTCACCACCTTTAAGTAGATGCCTAATACAGAGAATAGTTCAAAAGAAGTATAGGCCAGACCAAGGGATATGGATAGTCTTTATGTTTTTTAAAACTGTCTTGTGGGTTATGGTTTCAAAACAAGTATTTAGGGATGAAATGGGACATGATTTAAAGGTTAGCTTTCTTAGAAGATGACATAAAATATTTTTAAAATATAGAAAAGCCTTCTAGAATTGTAGGCAGACAGGAAACTGTCATGGCACAAATATATTTCAAGCTTTTTTTCTTAAAACAGCTCCTCTTTTGATTTTTAACATATTTTCTTTAATTTTTATTTTGTTTAAAATCACAGTAACAAATCCCTTACTGTTTCCCTCATGCAAATCCAAGAAATCCCTTCAGTGGAAGCCGACACACATGGCTCTCTCCCCCTTTTTGTCTTGGTATTTTGGAGAATATGGGCTTCTGCCATTGCATTCCAGTTTTAAAGTTGAAAGAGGTCATGTGACCATTACCCTAGGGGCATCAGAGACTTAAGGCATGTGGTGCCAATCGGCATGTGTAGGACCTCGGCCATTAAGTTGCAATTCACAGTAAACTGCATCTCAGAGATCAATTTTAGGTTCTCAAACACAGTGATATTGAAATGGAGTAAAAGCTGACTGTTTAGTAGGTTTTAACTTCACCTTTATCTTCCAACTACTGTGGCCACCCAATACCCCTAACAGGAAGGGCAATGCCAGCATCCCTCAGGTCTGGTACTACATAGCTAGGCACCCCAATTCATATTCAAGCTAGTCAGGCACCACTGGGGTAGTTAACACAGCTCAAGTGAAAAGCAATTAAGTCTCCAGGATGGAAAGTGTCAGCCAGTCTAGAGCTAGGGCCTGGAGCCAGGCGGAGATTCAGAACCGCCAGCACTTGACCGACGAGCACAGCGGCAGCAGCAACTTTGGGACTGGCGAGCCGCCAGGGCGGGGGTAGTCTGTGTCCCCAGGCCTCTCATTAGGTCGCTAAAGTAAGGCGGGTGGAGAAAAGTAAACACAGGCAAATGCAGCTGTGCCCCGGAATGGGGTTCCAGCCACCCTGTTTGCTCAGCCTCCCAGGGA